GCCAGAAAGAATAAGAAAATTGAAATCCCGCCCTCCATTAAAACCAGTGACAATACCTACACCAAGTCAATTACTGACACTTACCAATATCTGATTAAGGAACTCTTCCCTGAAGATAACATCTCCTCGGACAGCCAGTACCACTCTGTCATCCGCACCAGTATCCATCAGGCGTACGATGGTCCTAATGATTCCAACTTTACTTTCAACGAAATCTCTGGAGAGTTCCGCAAACTAAAACTGCATAAAGCCCCTGGCCCTGATCACATCACCACCAAAATGGCCAAACTGGCATTCGACGCTATCCCTACCACCTTCAGCATTATTATGAACAAGTGCCTAGACATAGGCTACTTCCCGTCTAATTGGAAGCATGCATCAATAAAACTTATTCCAAAAAACAAGGACAAGACACCAATCTCGGCCTTTGACTTTCGACCTATCTCCCTCCTACCAATCATCGGTAAAGTGCTTGACTCCCTCCTTATAAACAGGATTATCCACCACTACGAGAATAATAACCTAATCAACGATAACCAGTTTGGCTTCAGAAGGGGAAGGTCTACTATTGGGGCTATTGACAACATTTACCATTATATTACCGAGGCAAGGAAGAACAAACAATATAGCTTGATGGTCGCCATCGACTTCAAAGGCGCCTTTGACCACGCCTGGTGGCCGGCCATCCTATCTAATTTAAGAAAAGACAGTTGCCCTAAAAACCTTTACCATCTCGTGGAGAGCTACCTGCAGAACAGGTTCATCTCTGTGGACACAGGCAATAACATCTGCCTCCGCAAGGAAATTCACAGGGGCTGCCCACAAGGGTCCAGATCGGGCCCATACTTATGGAACATACTGTACAACAGCCTACTGGAGATCCAAACCACCTTTCCTAAGGAGTTTAATGGGCTTATTCAGGGGTATGCTGATGATACCATCCTCCTGATGAGCCACTTAATAATGAAATTTTACAAGAAGGGATAAATGAGGCCCTAAAGAACATATACAACTGGAGTGTAAAAACTAAATTAATGATAAATTATAATAAATGTAGTGTGGTGGTCTTTTCCAAGGGTAACCCCTTAAAGAAAGGCCCAAGTATAAAAATTAATAATAAAAAAATTAAAAACACGACAGCTGTTAAATACTTAGGCATTGTACTGGATCACAGGCTCAACTGGACGGACCATGTCCATTACATTTACGAAAAAGCCACCAAAGTCTCACATGCTCTGAAAACTATTTGTCGCAATAATTGGGGATACGGCCCTACTACCAGCCGCACCCTCTACATCGCAGCCATTGAACCTATTATCACCTATGGGGCGGAGATTTGGGGTTCCTCGGCGATTAGAATCCACATCAAAAGGAAGCTGCTTTCTATTCAAAGACTGTCGGCAATCTCGATTGCCAAAGCGTACAAGACAGCTCCAACAGAAGCCCTCCTGGTTCTCTGTAAGCTACTTCCTGTCGATCTTACAATTAGGCAAAACTACATTAATTTTAACCTTAATAAATTAGCTAATAATAAGTTCTCCCTTACTCATCTCCTGGACATTGTTTCCAACGATAATTACAAAGATGACATCAAATCTATTGGAGAGCTCATCAGTGACAATGGGTTAGACAAGGATTACAACACCAAACCCACTCACCCTAGTTTCACAATTTCCCAGGACTGTGATTCAACCAACGAAAATCTCATCATAGACATCTACACGGATGGCTCCAAAGCTGAGGCCGACGTTGGGTGTGCCTTCGGTCTTCAAAGCAATACAGTGTCTCCAGCAGTCGCGCAGAAGACTGGAGACTCACTGCACCAACAACCAGGCGAAGTCGCTGGCAATCTGCCATGCTCTCGAGTGGATCAATAAAAACTGCCATCTTTTCCCTGGGCACAGGTACAGGATCCATAGTGACAGCAGAGTTGCCATACAGCAACTTGTGAAGCTTAACAACAGTCTTCCAATCGTCAATACCAGCCTTAAGCACATTATCTCTTATGAACAACAACACAAAAGTCTCCATTCACTGGATTAAAGGACACTCCGGCAACAAAGGCAACGAAAGGGCAGACCTTCTGGCCCGTACTGCACTGAACACTTCCGGACCCACTGCCTACTGTAGGGTGAGTACTTCATACATTAAAAATAGGATCAATGATATCTTCATGGAAGAGTGGCAGAAGAGATGGGATTCGGCTGATACTGGGAGGCAGACTCACAGCTTCATCCCTGTCATCAAGAACTGGCTTAAAAAACCCCACCACAGTACTACGTACCAGCTTTTCACCGGGCATGGGAATCTTAAGACATATCTTCTTAGATTCCTAAACAAGTCTGATGGCTTATGTGACTGTACCCTAAAGGAGGAGGAAGATTCACAACACATCATCTTCCATTGCCCCTACTACACCAATCAGCGAAAGTCACTCATCGACGAAGTCTACAACAGTGGGCAGTATTGGCCGTGTACTCTACATGACCTCACCAACCATAGCAAGGTATTCAACACACTAAGGAACTTTACCAAAGAAATTAAGATACTGGACTAATTTTCACATTGGCCCTTAGTCACTGAAAGTGCCTAATCTCAATCTGTTTATAATGTATCTTACTTTTTGTTCACTGTATTATTGTATCTCTTCATCTTACATCCTGATTGTAACCACCTGATTGTAACCATTATCACTGTATACTCGCGTTATACTGTAGTGCCATTTTGTAATATGTAAAATTGTAGTTTGTATTATAACTTACTGTAGTCATGTACCTCGCGTTTCTTCTTGTACAATCCTGCTCATGTACGTTACTGTTGACTGTTTGTGACATTGTTGTATTTGTTTGTACCTGTTTTACTTGGAATAAATGCCGATGCGAGTCGCTCATGGGTCCCATGACCCTAGGTTGCTCCTTTCCTTCTATCCTATCTAACTTTAATTCCCCTTCAATCTAAACTCTTCTAAATAAACTTTATATCTTCTTCCTCTTATTGTCTTAACAGGGCTATACCTCCGTGGTATACCCTTAACCTTTGTCTACGTGTCTATAGCAACCAGAGGGCGTTGAGTCGCGATCCAGCTTGGTTGTGTGTGTATCGAGCTCTGCTTTGGATCGCCGCATCGAAGTCAATAATAGCCAAACCGAGAATTATTATATATTATTGGATTCGTTTCTACGTAAGCTATCTAACAACGTCAAGTTTGTGCGGATCGGACTTAAGAGTGGAAAGTTACGGACTGCGAAACTTTCATGTTTTTCGGCCGCCATTTTTAGGCAAATTTTACCGGTAAGTGACTGTATTATATACCGTTCGATAGAGGAAATCGTGCTGATTTCTCCGCCGTTTACAGTATTAAGATCGGACTTACCGTTTTTATTTTATTGCGACCACAACGTTTTGCTTATCGGGCCACCGTGCGGGCTTGTCGGGCCACCGGGGCTAATCATATTCGGGTGTTTCTTTGTTCCGACTATTCCCTACGTGTGTGAAAAATTTCGAGCTTTTACGTCAATTAGTTTTTAAGATATGAACATTTTAAAATTTTTTGTGAACAAAGGGTCAAAAGGTCGTTGACCTCGCCACGTGGTTGAGTCGAATCCCCTAACCGACCCTAATTCGGCGATCGCTCGATTCTTTTTTGTCGGGTTTTGATTATATTTATAATTAGTGTAATATATCATTGGATTTATATAAAATTAGACATTATTTTAGTATATATTTTGTTAACTTTTACTGAACTTTTGTGACTCATTATGGACAACTCGAAACTTGAACTCAGGGTTAACTCAACCCAATTAGAGGACGATATAGAGGAAATAAGACCTGACTCAGTCCAAACAGAGAATATAACTACTGAAGAAATAGAAAACACCCTTATCACAGAGGCCAACAAAATGCTTGGCATTGTCATGGAGCTGTGCCCAGAGCACACAAATACAAATGTCAAGCAGAAAGAAAGATGCAAAATTAGGGAGTGTGTGGCAAACATGTTCGGTTTCTTGCATGAAATGTATGCCATAGTGAAAGAAACAAGAAAGCAGTGTGAAATAAAAAAGAACAACATGAAACAAACGACGCAACAAGTTTTCCACCAACCTTCGTATAGTGATATAATTAAAAGGAACATCAAGCCCAGTGCTACGACAAAGAAAATTCAGAAATCACTCGACCAGAAACTGAACAGCGAGGGAACTGGAGGCTCACATGCCGTCCTGATATACCCTAAGGAACAAGAAAATGGCGAACCACAAACCAATTTTATTAAAAGAAATCACGGAGGAGCTCAAAAGAAAGATTGAGCCACACAAATTAAGAATTAAAATAAAGGCAGTAAAGCAGATAAAGGACAACGGAATATGTATACGGGTAGGTGATGGAGAACAAAGCGAGACCCTTGAAAATGCTATAAAGGGAATACAAAGTCTAAAAAATAAAATCACGTGCAAAAAATCAGAAGGGCGTAGACCCAGAATTATAATGATAAACGTACCCCAATCAATTGAAAAAGAAAATATAGTCCCCTATATCTACAGACAAAACAACATCTGGAGAAATATAGAGGAAGAACAATTTATTAACTATTGTAGAATAAGTACAATACTTACAACAGGCCGACACAGCGAAAACTGCAGGCATGTAGTGCTCTCAGTTACGCCAATAATTAGAAATATATTCATTAAAGAAAAGCATATATCGATCAATTGGGCGACCATAAAGGTCGATGATTATATACCAATAGTACGCTGCTATCGCTGCTGTGGCGTCGGCCATATTGCTAAGAGCTGTGACAAAGACCAGGCTTGTTCCCACTGTGGAAAAAAACCACAGATATACCGAGTGTGACCGCCTCCAAGAGCCGCCATGCTGTGTCAATTGTCACAGTAATAATAGAGATCTTCCAAGAGCAAAAAAACAACCGACTAATCACGGGGCACTAAACCCAGAGTGTCCCATTACCAAAAAAATTAAAGAAGCCGCAATTAAAAGGACTGATTATGGCCTGTGAAACTGATATGAATAGCACTCAGCCAGAAAATACTACTCAGCAACACCAGACCAATAATACCATTAATATCATCCAAATTAACACACAGAAAAGCAAGGCAGCTTGTTCACAGCTGATCCAGACTGCTAACGAGAGGAATATCGACATAATAGGGATACAGGAGCCCTATTACATTAAAAATAAAATAGTACGGTCTGGAAGGTGGAGGGTGATCACTGGTAATACGAATACGAGGCCAAAAAGCGGCATAATAGTGTGTAATCCTAACATCGATATAGCTAAAATCCACCACCTCTGCAGCGATAAAATAACAACAGCTATAATACAATTGACCAAACCAGTCATTCTAATCTGTGCCTACCTCTCACCTGAAGAGGACGACGAGGAATGCATCAGGGACTTATCCAACGTACTAAGAAAAATTAAAAATAAAAATATGATTATTATTGGGGACCTAAATGGCAAATCACCAGTCTGGTTCCATGAAAAGGAGGACAGGAGAGGCAGGATGATCACAGATATGATGAAGGAATTCAATCTCATCTCCACTAATATGTCAACCCACCTTACGTTTTTTACACCGTTTGCGAAAGGCTGGACAGACATTTGTTTGGTCTCGAGCAACGTAAGTCATAAGATCGACAACTGTGAAACTCTCCTCTCCCCATCGGCCAGTGACCACCGGTACATTATAACACAAGTACAGGACAGTACCACAAAAGTGAACAACAAGACAAATTATTTTCAAATCAGACAAACAAATTGGGCCATATTCAGACATGAATTCGCCAAGAACTGGCATCAATACGATTTTCCCACGATAAACAGTCACGAAGATATTGACGATTATGCTAGCCACTTTACAAACGCACTAAAAACAGCTGGTGAAAAAGCACTCAGCTACAAAAAGGTCCCACCAAGGAAGACTCATTGGTGGAACGACGCACTGAGTCGAATGAAACAGAAGGTTAATAGAATAAGGAAAAAATATATAAAAAGAAAGAACACCGGTGAAGAAAATAACTATAAAAATAAATATAAGGACATCCTTAAGCAATATAAAAAACAAATAAACAAAACCCGGACTAATTCGTGGAGGAAGTTCTGTACGGATTCCAATAGCAACGGCCCATGGGAGCTACCTTACAACATCATTATTAAGAAGCAGAAAACATCATACCTCCCTGATATCATGGATACTGACAACGAATCAGACATCAACACCAACATCAAAGATAACGTTGAAAAAATTCTAAGATTCCACTTCCCTAACGACAACCACGAAAACGACACTAGGAATCAGGAAAATATCCGCAATAGTATCCAGAGCCCGAATAGCAATACAAACGATAGACTCTTACTTTCAGAGAAGTAGAAAAAGCGGTAAAAAGTATGGCGAACAAAAAAGCGCCGGGGACGGACGGTATCACCACCGAGATGCTCAAAGAAGCATTCAAAGAAATCCCCATCGCATTCATGCATATTCTAAATGCGTGCCTGATAACAGGATATTTCCCGAACAGTTGGAAAATAGCCGACATCTAATTAATTCCGAAAAATGATAATCCAACTGAGCCTAAGGACTACAGGCCCATCAGCTTGCTTCCCACAATGGGTAAGCTTTTAGATGGCCTGATGATAGACTGCATAAATTGGCACCTGTATAACACGCAACAACAAAATACTAACCAATTCGGATTCAGACCGGGAAGGTCCACTGTTGAAGTTGCTATAAGGGCTAAGAAAAAGATTCATGATGCTTGGAAGGAGAATAAGCACACGATCCTTATAAAAATAGACTTCCATAAGGCGTTTGACCACCTATGGTGGCCGAGCGTCCTCAGAAGGCTTCAAAACACCAAGTGCCCTGCAAACATTTATCATTTAACAAAGGATTACCTCAGCAACAGGACCATCATCTACCATAGTAACAGTTTTACGATTCAAAGGGACACTAACAGAGGATGTCCACAGGGCTTGCGTAGCGGCCCGGGCCTGTGGAACCTTGTTTGTGACGAACTTCTTAACATCTTCCCACATGACCATAACAACCACATCCAAGCTTTTGCGGACGATGTTCTGCTGATGGTTTCGCACCAGAACGTAGATAAACTAGAGGAAAATACAAACAAGCACCTAGAGCAAATTAATGAATGGAGCAAGGAGAACAAGCTCCCTATAAATTACATAAAAACTACAGGTATGGTGTGTACCAGAAAAAATAGAAGAAATAGATTGCAAAGACCACCTAGGATATTCATTGATAAGAATAAAATAAAGATAGAGCAGGAGATCAAATACCTGGGAATCTATTTCGACGACAAGCTCAATTGGCACAAGCACGTCCGCAACATAAGCGACCAAATGGAACGGAAAGCCAATCTAATGAGCTGGATAACGGCCAAAATGTGGGGTTTAAACTTTAAAAACACGAAGTTTATTTATAAGACGGCTATCGAACCAGCCATGTTATACGCGGTTCAGGTATGGAGCGAGGCTCTGGAAAACGTACACATAAAGCGTAAATTAATGTCAATCCAAAGGAAATATACTATTAAAATCAACAGAGCTTACAATACCGCTCCTACCAATGCACTTCAAGTCATGGCCAACATCATGCCGGTCCACCTTAAGGCGAAATTCCTGATATGGTACTGGCACCCCACTACGAAAAATAGCCAAATAGGACACAATATCCCAGACGAAAATGAATTTTACCAGGAGCTAAAAAATAATAGTACAATTATCGACTTAAACCAAACAAACTTCAAAATTGACAGAAAGCTAAAAAGGGATGAATATACTAAACACCCGGCGGACGATATTAACTATAAAATAAGATGGAAACAAGAAGACAAACAAGAAACAAAATATAAATAAAGCATATATACGGATGGATCCAAGAACGAGAAAGGCACGGGCGCTGGATTCACGGTTAAAAATGCAAAAAATAGAACGACCTACCAATGCTATTACAGACTGGCTCCACACTGTAACAACGCACAGGCGGAAATATACGCCCTTCTAAAGGCCATCCAGCACATAGAAAACAACATAGACATCTTCAAAGGAAACATCTGCATCCTTACAGACAGTAGAACTTCACTCCATAATTTAAATAACCTGAACAACCCCACTGTTTTAGCAAAAAGACTATACACGAATGCTAATTTACTTGGTGAAAAACGCAACCTTACTTTTGGTTGGGTACGAGGGCACAGCGAGAATGAGGGAAATGAGACGGCGGACAAGTTGGCCAAATTAGGGGCCAACGCCGACATTGTCCCCTCTTTCACCGACACACCGCTGGGCACAGTAAGAAAACATCTACTTCAAATCATCAACACACAATGGCAGAAGGAGTGGGAGACGGCGGAAACTGGAAGAAACTGCTTCCAGTTTATCCCCTCTATTCAAGCTCATCAAAAAGCCACACATTATACTCCCAATAAACTTACTACGCAAGTAATCACAGGGCATGGAAACTTTCCCGCCTATCTTAATAGATTCAAGATCAGTGACAGTGATAAGTGCACGTGTTTGGACTCTGAAATCGGCAATGCAACACACTTCGCATTCTTATGTCCCAATTTTGATACTCACAGAAATGAACTAATAACTAAATACCTTTCAAAGCACCCAAGATGGCCCCCAATGCCGAGTAAAATCTTCGAGGACAAAAATCTGTGGAAAGCGTTTGAGGATTACATCTCCAAAACAGGTGCTCTCGTGGAATATAACACCAATCAAGAACATGACAACGAAAGAGACGAAACGATTGACGAAGACACTTACGAAAAAGAAAGCATGGACAACGACACGTCGCAAGACGAGTCGTCCTGATGCTAGAACTCTTTACCTGCTACCACCTACAATGTTTAGGATGGATTCTTTTATGTGTACTCTGTTCATGGGAGTGACAATTTATTGTATATAGTTAATTAGTCATAGCGACCAGCTGTTTGTCGAGCAATTTTGTATATTCTTAGTCTATAACACTTTTATGATTTAATTGTCGGTTTTACTTTGTAAATTTTATGTTACCATTATATTTGTATACTTGATTTTATTTCAATAAGAGGCCCGATGCAGACGCTCTCTGGTCCCATGCCTTCCCTTCACACTGTCCTCTATCGCTTTCTTTCACACTTCACATCTCATGCTGTCTCTTCTTTCAACTTCTAACAGGGCATAAAACTGTCCCCAAACAGTCAGCCCTGTAATATCTTTAGTACAATGTCTATAGCAACCAGAGGGCGTCCAGCAGTGAATCGGGTAAGACGTGGATTTCAGAGCTCCTGCTTTTCGCGATAGTTTACCCTGGATTTAACTTTGACCTAAAGTTGTGCTATACCATCGGATTCGTCTCGTCGAGAGGATTACGTTGAAGTCATTTTTGTGAAGATGGTTGGTTGGTTTGTTAGAGTTTATTGACGCAAGGGCCATACAGGCCAGGCTGCGCCATAGCAAATGGTATATATAAATATATATATATATAAAATGTTCAATATAAATAAATTAATAAACTAATAAATAACAAAACCACATATAACAATATACATATAAATAATAGCAAGATATATACATAGATGAATGAATAAATAAATAAATAATCAACAAGGTATATATATAAACATAACCTAGATAAATAATTAAATATGTCTATAAATATTATTCACTTTCAAAAAGTTCAATAATTTGTCAAGATTTGGCCTCTGGCCCAAAATCTCTCTCAGACTTGCATTTCCAAAATGCTCTCTATGACTTTGATCAAAAGCTGTGCAGTTGCAAAGCATGTGTTTTACACTTAGAAAGCAGTTGCAATGCTCGCATACTGGCTGGTCTTCACCTTTCAAAAGGTATTGATGAGTCAACCGAGTATGCCCAATTCTCAAACGAGTAAGAATTACTTCAGATCTCCTGTCATACTGTTTATT